CAGAAAAGCATTTGTTGAGCACATACAATATACTGAATACCATACCAAAACCTGCATTTATAAATATAAGTATGGCCTCTTCCTGGAACTTGCACTCTACTATAGAAGCAAATATTAACACTTATCTTCAGTTACTCTTGTCAGAGCTATATACAGACATGTATGGTTAAGGAAACTGAAAGCAGGCCATAAAATCCATCTAACTCTAAAATCAAAATCTCTTTGGGACATAGTTAACTATTCAAACAAGAAAAAGAAAAGTATTTTGAAAAGAAGATTGGATCGAAGGTATACTGACTGAAGTAAAATTCAGTGATGTGGCTCAGTCAACTAACCTGATATCTCTGCTTCTCTATATCATCATCCAGGAAATGGTGGTACTCACATCTCCCTCCTGGAGTGATGGGGAGAATGAATGAAATGGCTTGCAGGAAGTCCTGCCATGTGAAGGATTAGACGGTGGTCTGTAGGAAGACAAAATTTTGCTTGCATAAGAAAAAGGAAGAAACTTCTAGTAACCTGAGCTGCAATGATAAATTGTGCTGCCTCAGGAGATACAGATCTATCCCTTCAGGTACTGGAGCCTTGGCTGACTGACTACTGAGGATATTTTAATGTGGGCCATATTGACAGAGTAGGAATTGCATTTGATGATCCATAAGCTTTCTATATTTCCTAAGATCATATTATTATATCAACTGGTGATACACCTAGCAATCATACATGGAATATCACCAACTAGAAATTCAGCATCAATTTTAGAGTAAGGTTGTTCAGGAAGATAAATCTTAAAAATGCAAAATATATTTTACATATACACAGTATAGTATATGCATCTTATATTTTTTATTACCAAAGAAAAATAAAACTGATGTGGCATAATTTGCATTTTATAATATATCAATAGCAGTCATATATAGATATGAGAGTTGGACCATAAAGAAGGCTGAGTGCCAAAGAATTGATGCTTTTGAACTGTGGTGTTGGAGAAGATTCTTGAGAGTCCCTTGTACTGCAAGAAAATCCAACCAGTCAATCCTAAAGGAAATCAGTCCTGAATATTCAATGGAAGGACTGATGTTGAAGCAGAAGCTCCAATACTTTGGCCACCTGATGTGAAGAACTGACTCATTGGAAAAGACCCTAATGCTGGGAAAGATTGAAGGCAGGAGGAGAGGGGACAACAATGGATGAGATGGTGGGATGGCATCACTGATATGATGGTCATGAGTTTAAGCAAGCTCCAGGAGTTGGTGATGGACAGGGAAGCCTGGCCTGCTGCAGTCCATGGGGTCACAAAGAGTCTGATCCGACTAAGCAACTGAACTGAACTGTATAGAATAATAATTCCATTTTAACTAGACTATCCAAATGGACAGAGAAGTCCCTTCTGCTGCTATTTTAGAAAGTTGGGAATTTGGTGATTATCAAGAGATTCCTAATATTTATATTTTGGAACTTAAAACATTACAAGATGGTATGTGTTTCATAGATGATTATATAATGATCTAAATCTGATTATAGGTAATCTGTTTTTATAAATGTTACTTCACATTATTCAGTTACGGAGGTTAACTTTTAAGAAAAACTTTCTAATTTAGACCAAAAAGTGTTGTTATTGTAGAGAATAGTTTAAACTTTCCTAAAATATACCCTCATAAAGAATAACAAAATCAGTTTGATGGTTCTAAGCTTTAACTTCTATGACAGTAAATTAAAGAGTGGAAGAGTGAATTCATTGGAAGAACTCGTAATAAAATAACAATTATTTAAAAATTAAGTATAACAAAGCAAGGGTAGAATTATTAAAATTCCAAGTATTATAACCTACCCAGGTGTGTATGGAGGATAAATAATGGTAATTGATGTATGTTTATGTTCTAAATAATTATGTAGACATTTTCTAGAATAAAGGATATATACCATGGCAAGTCATTTTTATGTTTGCTAAAATTAAAAGTCAAATGCCTTAATTTTCAATGATAGCTGTAAAATAACTAATCGCTATAAAAGTAAATGATACACTAGTCTACAGATAAAGTTTAAACTATGTTTCCTTAGATGAACAGCATAAGAAAAATACTTTAAAATATGGGTAACTCTTCAAATAATTTTATGTTACTGAAATATACTTTTTATGGATTGATTAGTAAATAAGACAAACATAAAGGTATTTTTATGCTAATTGAAAAAGAACTGGAATAGGTGAGACAGTATAGACTGCAAAAAACATAAACTTTTAGTTTTTGTTAGTTTTGGGGAAATTCATTTCTCTAAGAGTCTAAGTTTGTTCCATGAATTCTCATTGAGTCTAAAATGGCATTTTTTTTCATAAGCCACGAAGAACAAAAATCAAAGTGGTTCTCTGGAACTAGTAAATGAAATTATAGCTAGGTAGTTTCCTATTAAATTAAGACTTCAGAAGGAATAGAATATTAAAAATTATTACTAATCAGAGGAACAAGTTGAGCATACTAAAGGAAAAACAACAGCTGATCAAATTAAAATTAAATTCCAGAAAGGCTTTAATTCTTCCTGTGACTAATGAAAGATGACCAATCAAATCAGCAACTGTCAAAAACCTAACAATGTGACAGGTTGGAATTTCTTGTTTGAATTAAAACCTTTATTTGACTTGTCTGTTCATATTTAGGAACACAAATTTAGCTAATGTTCTTATTACTTTATAAATGAAGCACTTCATTTTAAATGGCATGTGCCTATGCCAAAATATAGCACATATTACACTACAACTCCCTCACCTACTATTAAAGAGACAAACTGCATTCTTTTAAACTCAGACATCTCCGTGAAAAATCTTTCTTTTCCTGACAAAGACAAAGGTTAGATCAAATACACATCAGAGGAGCATTATCTTGTCAAGTGGCTGAAATACTTTAATACAGGGAGGAAACTTTCAGTTAAAATTTTAAGGACGGATGAAGGAAAATCTTCATATTAATACCTGCTGTTTATGTTACTTTTACCACATAAAGAAAAAAGAAGAAATCTTGCTCACTATTCTGAGGTGTACTGGAAGAAATCCAATTAAATCAGAAAAAAAACATTAATAACTTGGGGGTTGCAAAAATAGGACTTTGAAACAAGTATAAACCATTATAAAATCCAGTTTGTGATTAATATGCAATGAATTCTTCCTTGACAGATATGCACTGTTGGTTACATATTGAAGTTTCCTTGTTTATGCTTTACATGGCATTTGCTTCATTTTTAGAGTGTAAAACTCTTCCTCGTTTACATCCATGTTCATTTTACTCTTAACAAGATAAATAACAAAGAGACTAGAAATGCTTATGCATGAAACATCTTAGGCTGCAAGTATTGGTAAATTACCTTCATCTTTTCTTTATGTCAGTGTTTAACAAGAAGTCAGTACAATTAACATGATTTGACACAAGATTGTCCTTTGTTAAACATGGAAGTTCAACAGTAAAGAGGATGGTGTTGGAGACCAGAAAGTATTACTGAGTGTACCTTACCTGTTACGTAGAAAACAGGCTTGGGCACAAAACTAGAACAATATTTTCTAAGCCGTGACAGACTCTGTTATAATATGGCTGCTTCACAGGGTAGATCAGGCTTTAGATGAATGTGTTTATGTTTTAGAAGTCAAGGTTTGATCTCTAATGTTTTTAAATGATCCTATATACTAGGACGCATCGAGCAGCAGACTAGACAGGTACAACTTCATCCCTCGGGTTTCCCGGATCTTAAAAGCAGTGTTTGTTTCTATGTTAATCACTTATTCATTCAACAAATATTTGCCAATGCTGGCAATACAACAGGTAATAATCATAAAATACTTTAAGTGTTGTTGTAGAAAACGTACATGAAAAAATATCTGTATTCTGGGGAGGGGATGGGTGGCTAGGGAAACCCTGTGGAAGGATGTGTCACATGTTCTGCCAGATAGGACAAGGACAAAGAAAAGGCATTTTTCTGAAAAATTGAAGTGTGTTAAATAAGGCTACAACTCAGTCTTTTTTTTTTTTTTACCATTTTATCTGAACACAAAGTAAACAAATAAATGTATACTCTTGTGTCAACATATTCATGTAGAATCATGCTTTTCTTTCCAGTGGATTCTAAAGGAGCCCTAAAGGTGGGTTTCTTGCATATATCACACACCTGAAACATTGAGCACAAAAAGTTCAAGGTTGAGTTTTTTGAAAGTTGAATTAGAATGATAAATGTAATCTAAATACAGAATTTTCCTAGTTTAAAAAAAAGTGTCAATCTGAAGAATTTTATCCTCAAAGTTACAAAACATATAACTCAGTTTCAAAAATTATCAAGAATTTACCATACTTATTTTTTATGAGAGAATTTATACAGTATACATAGTATAGTATGTTATAGCCTAGTATAAGCAAATTCTGATCACTACTCTTCCTCAATAAAACTTTGGTAAGCATCTTGAAATTATGAATATTTCTTAGGTACTCACACTGATATTAGCAAAATTCATGTTAATTCCTTGATGTCATTTATTAATAAATGCTCAATTTTTTTACTATGGTGGGAATAGACTTCTATTATTTAAAACAGACAAACAACAAAGACTTGCCAGACTAATAAACAAAATCCCCAGAGCACAAGCTTTCAAACAAAATGTCAGTGTGTCTGTTTTTATAAAAAATTAAAGACCTCTTCAGTGAAGAATATCATGGTATTATCTAACACTTGCAACATCTGAAACTTCTGAGATCCTCAAACAAACAAATAAACCATAAACCTCAAAGTCCCCCCACTAGAAAGGTTAATATCATCACAATGATTTTTCTACAAGTTTCTAGAATTCACTTGTTGCATGTAGCCAACACAAGGAAGGAGTAACTGAGAATTCTAACATGATATCAAAAATTCAGTTACTGTATGCCATGCTTTCATTGTTGATTTTGACTTTTCAATAATATTAAAATGGGAAGATATCAGAAAGAGAGCAAAGGTCACATTTGTTTTTATTTTTTTATTTTTTTTAATAAAAAAAATTGCATTTACTTAGAAGCATTCAGAATGTCAACAAGACAGCTGCAACTTTTTTTCTTTTTCTTTTGCAATTACAGAGTGGTATTCAGTTAACAGAACAACAATTATTCGTATAAGCTGCATCAGAGACAACTGAAGATGAAAAAACTACCATCCCCATATATAACTAATTTGTGCTGTGCACCAACAAGAACCTGCTTTAAATTTCCATGCCAATTTACAACCCCCATACTGTACCAGGCAAGGTTAGTGGCTATTGAAAATACCACCAGGACAGGGCTATCTAAAGACACATTCGGTAGTGTGTTAACTATACAAAAAAAGACACTGTACAGTTTAAAAACAAATCTTACACAGCCTTACATTTCAATTTTTTTTCTTTAAAAGGAGTGAGTTGTGTACAGGGGGGTTAAATGCTTTATAGACAAGAAAAAAAAAAATGCGCTAGAACCAACTTATTCATCATCATCATCTTCTTCCTCCTCCTCATCCTCTTCATCTTCTTCCTCCTCCTCATCCTCTTCATCTTCCTCATCTTCCTCCTCTTCCTTCTTTTTCTTGCTTTTTTCGGCCTTAACAACTCCCTTTTTTGCTGCATCAGGCTTCCCTTTAGCTCGGTATGCAGCAATATCCTTTTCATACTTTTCCTTCAGCTTAGCAGCCTTCTTCTCATAAGGCTGCTTGTCATCCGCAGCAGTGTTATTCCACATCTCTCCCAGTTTCTTTGCAACATCACCAATGGACAGGCCAGGATGTTCGCCTTTGATTTTTGGACGATACTCAGAACAAAACAAGAAAAAGGCCGAAGGAGGCCTCTTGGGTGCATTGGGATCCTTGAACTTCTTTTTTGTTTCCCCTTTAGGAGGGATATAAGTTTTCATTTCTCTTTCATAACGGGCCTTGTCCGCCTTAGCCATGTCTTCAAATTTTCCTTTCTCTTTAGCAGACATGGTCTTCCACCTCTCTGAGCACTTCTTAGAAAACTCTGAGAAGTTGACTGAAGCATCCGGGTGCTTCTTCTTGTGCTCCTCCCGGCAAGTTTGCACAAAGAATGCATATGATGACATTTTGCCTCTCGGCTTCTTAGGATCTCCTTTGCCCATGTTTAATTATCTACCCTCCGCGAGGCACAGAGTCGCCCAGTGCCCGTCCGGCTCTCACTTGCCCCGGAGCTGTCTCTATGGAGCTCAATGTACTGCCACATTTGTTTTTAAAATGTATTTATTTTAATAGAAGGATAATTATTTCATGACATTGTGATCATGTTTGCCATACATCAATATGAACTGGCCATAGGTATACATGTGTCCCCTCCATCCTGAATCCCAACTCCCACCTCCTTCCCCACACTATTCCTCTAGTTGCCACAGAGCACCGGCTTTGGGAACCCTGCTTCATGCATCAAACTCGCCCTGGTTATCTCTTTTACCTATGGTAATGTATGTTTCAATGCTATTTCCTCAAATCACCCTACCCTCTCCTTCTCCCACTGAATACACAGGTCTGTCCTTTATGTCTGTGTCTCCTTTGCTGCCCTGCACATAGGACTGTCAGTCCCATCTTTCTAGATTCCATATATATGTGTTAATATACAGTATTTGCCTTTCTCTTTCTGACTTACATCTCTCTGTATTCCCAAAAAATATTAAAATAATCTACAACAATTAAAGGTTAAATTCTAAGCAAGGCATTAAGAAGAGTGAGAAGAAAGAACAACCTAGAAAAACATTCTCAGTGGAAATCCTACTTGACTTGCACTTTAGCTATTTCACAATTGACCTCTAAGTAATGAAATGAACGGTGGTAGCAACAAGAATATTGAACTTATTAAGCAGCTGTGCCCAGTCTCTAAATCATGTCTGATTCTTGGGCTAGAGCCCACTATGCTCCTCTGTCCATGGGATTTCCCAAACAAGAATACTGGAGTGGGTTGCCATTTCCTTCTCCAGAGGATCTTCCTGACCCAGATATTGCACCTGCATCTCCTGCGCTGGCAGCAGATTCTTTACCATTGAGCTACCTGGGAAAACCGATTAACCAGCTACTATGTGTTAAATCCTGGAAGAGGAAACAGCAGCCCATTCCAGTATTCTTGCCTAGAAAACCCATGGACAGAGGAGCCTGGTAGGCTATAGTTCATGGGGTCACAAAGAGTTGGGCACATGTGTCAAATAACAAAGTGCATTACGTGGATTATCCCATTTAAACTTCACAACAACTCTATCAGGGAGGTATTGTTATCCTTTACCTTTAAAAGGGAAAACCCTAGGTTACAAAAGTTAATGTAGGTTGATTGAGCTCTCACCAATAAAAATGTACTTCAGGATTAGAATGTATATATCTGACCACAATCAATGCTCTTTTGTCTTCTCTTTTTATAATTCTTATTTCATTTTTTTTTATTACTTATTTATCACTAACTAGTAAAACGGTGTGCTTCAAATTTCAAAAATCATAAAAGATATTCTCTGAGAAGACTTCCTTTGAATCCTGGTTTTCTCCCAACTTATTTCCATACTACTATTTTCCCTTTTTGTCTACACTTTCAGATACTTATGAACACATATGAAGGCTCTATGCACATGTGTTTGTATATTTTTTCATTCTCTTATGCCAGGGTTCATCCTTTTATGTATCTTCTAAATATGTATCTCACATACATACATATCAGCAGTTTTCCTAATTAATTTTTTAATCTATACAGATCCAATGAAATAGATATGCCAAAATTCACTTAATCAGGCTTCTCAGGTGACTCAGAGGTGAAGAGTCTGCCTGCAATGCAAAAGACACAGGAGACAAGGGTTCCATTCATGGGTCAGGAAGATCCCCTGGAGAAGGGCATGGTAACCTACTCCAGTATTCTTGCCTGGAGAACTCCATGGGCAGAGGAATCTGGTGGGCTACAGCCCACAGGTTCACAAAGAATTGGACATGGCTGAAGCAACTGAGCATGCAGGCCGTCCAGTTAATTAGTCCCATCATGAAGGAAATTCGGACTGTTTTCCGTGATTCTCCTTTAACAAAAATGCTGCATATCATCTTGAATTGAGATGGACCCTCCACGAAGTTGTATTTACTAGTGACTGCAATAGTGGAGAAATAAATCTCTGACATGTGCCTCAGTTGTTCAAGATTTGGACTTATTCGTTTACAACAACATAACTTGAGTTCTGGTAGTTTCATTGCATTGATGGCACCAACTTATGCCCTCTCTGCATCTTTGCCGTTTAGCAGAGTCCTACCCATAGAATTGCTGCTGCTGTTGTTCAGTTGCTCAGTCATGCCCGACTCTTTGTGACCCCATGGACTGTGGCACGCCAGTCTTCCCAGTCATTCACCATCTCCCAGAGATTGCTCAAACCCATGTCCACCGAGTCGGTGATGCCATCCAGCCATCTCATCCTCTGTCCTCCCCTTCTCCTCCTGCCTTCAATCTTTCCCAGCATCAGGGTCTTTTCCAGTAAGTCAGCTCTTCACATCAGGTGGCCAAAGTAATTGGAGCTTCAGCTTCAGTCCTTCCAATGAATATTCAGGGTTGATCTCCTTTAGTATTCATTGGTTTGATCTCCTTGCAGTCCAACAGACTCTCAAGAGACTTCTCCAACACACAGTTTGAAAACATCAGCTCTCTGGCTCACAGCCTTCTTTATGGTCCAGCTCTCACATTTGTACATGACTACTGGAAAGACAAGAGCTTTGACTATATGGAGCTTTGTCAGCAAAGTAATGTCCTTGCTTTTTAATATGCTGTCTAGGTTGGTCATAGCTTTACTTCCAAGGAGGAACTGTCTTAATTTCATGGCTGCAGTCACTGTCTGCAGTGATTTTGGAGCCCAAGAAAATAGTCTGTCACTGTTTCCATTATTTCCCCATCTATTAGCCATGTAATGATGGGACCAGATGCCATGATGTTTTTTGCGGGGGGTGGGGTGCGGATGTTGAGTTTTAAACCAGATTTTTCACTCTTCTCTTTCACTTTCATCAAGAGCCTCTTTAGTTCCTCTTTGCTTTCTGACATAAGGGTGGTGTCACATGCATATCTGAAGTTATTGATGTTTCTTCTGGCAATCTTGATTCCAGCTTGTGAGTAATCCAGCCCAGCATTTCACATTATGTGCTCTGCACAGAAGTTAAATAAGCAGGGTAATATACAGTCTTGACACACTTCTTTCCCAATTTGGAACCAGTCCATTGTTCCATGTCCGGTTCTAACTATTGCTTCTTGACCTGGGTACAGGTTTCTCAGGAGGCAGCTAAGATGATCTGGTTTGGTTCAGTTTAGTTCAGTCGCTCAGCCATGTCTAACTCTTTGCAACCCCATGGACTATAGCACGCCAAGCTTCCCTGTCTATCACCAACTCCTCGAGTTTGCTCTAACTCATGTCCATTGAGTTGGTGATGCCATCCAACCATCTTATTCTCTGTTGTCCCCTTCTCAATCTTTTCCAGCATCAGGGTCTTTCCTAAGGAGCCAGTTCTTTGCATCAGGTGATCAAAGTATTGGAGCTTCAGCTTCAGCATCAGTCCTTCCAATGAATATTCAGGTGATCTTGTATTCCCATAGAATTGGAGACCATTTAACTATTCTGGTCAATTAGGTAATTAAAAATTGACACCATTAGTGACTTCACAATAGACTTGGACAATTATACTTCTTTTGCATACCTTCTATGCTATGAGATGATGTCTACATTAGACTGCTACAAGATGGGAAATCATGTGGAGAAGAACTGAGTTAACCCATGCAACATCATCCTAGACCCGTCAGCTCTTAGCTACGAGGTGACCACTGCACATGGACAAGTCCAAACTTCCCAGCCAATACTGAAGAAGAGCAGGAGATACAGTCAACCAGTTCATAGACTTGAAATAAAAAAGGGAAGGCTGCTAAGTTTTACCTGCTTGGTTATGCAGCAAGAGCTAAAGAAGCGAAGGCAAAAGAAAAGTTATTAAGGCAGACAATTTCATTTATTGGATGCAATTGTGAAAATGTCTTTTATGATAGCTATTTTTAACCACTTATAGCCATGTTATCCTAGAATCTGTTGAAAATTAAAAACTACAAAATGTATATGTGTACATATCAAGTATTAATATGATTTATAATAGTGCACAGACACTCTGACACATCCATGGACAGAACCAAATCAATAATCTGCCTCAAGTTGAAATGTCTTGCTAGAGAAGAGTCTAACTCACATGCTTTTGTGAAATTCAGCATTTTGAATAGCATATGTCATCATGGAAATGCATATATTTTCTGGAGCTATAAAAAACCATAGTGCATGCAAAGAGATTATAAATAGAAAAAAATTATAGACTTTTCAAATTTTCCTATTAGTTACTTAGAGTCTGTTTTAGGATCCTAGATTTTAGAATGGACATGTGCTCATGTATCCACACTTTTTCACTCTATGCCTTAACTATAGTCAAAAGGAATGATGGATATTGTTTCATTTTCCCAAAACAATATTAAATAACAATGACAAATGCCCTCTACAGTGCTCTTCAGAACAGAAATATGAAAGTTTTGCTTTTACTAATGAAAAACAAGGTGATCTCAGTTTCTCTAAGGATTGTCAAAGATTGAGGTTCACGTGAATTTCAGTTCATTTAATATATTTAAGATTTCATATTCAAAATAAGATTAACCTGTGTGGGTGTGCATGATTCCCATACGTTTGAGGTTATCTTCTATTTCTTTTTGAACCATTGACCTAAGCAACTAATCAGTCTATTCAAGTAAACATTGAAAACTAGCCATACTATGTAAATATAGGCTAATAATAATTCTTGCTGCCACACACACACATACATCCATTTTATTCTCATACCAAATTATTAGGTAAGCACAGTTATTGTCCCCACTCTAAACCAGAGGGAACCAAAGCCTGTCCAATGTAACACTCAACCAGAAAGAAACAGAGTGCATCACACTCAAAACCCCAAATCCACTCAAAAAAGGACTTTTGAGGGATAGCATTCTTAAGTAACAGGGATTAGTTCTGAAAGGAATTTCTGTAAGAGAACCAGGGACTGGACATGTGGCTAAGTGGTAAAGAATCTGCCTGCCAATGCAGGAGACACGGATTCACCCCTTGGGTCAGGAAGACTTTTCACATCAAGTAAAAAAAAGTATGAGTACACAGCACATGTCTATTCTAAAATCTAAAAGGTAATGGCAACCCACTC